TGTATTATTAAATTACAATAAATTTATTTTTTTAATTAATGGAATATTAATTACCATTTAATCCACTTTAATCAAAATTAATCAAAATTTTTAATCTAACTAAGGTACTGAAAAATTCTTGGTCTTGTTGAATGATCATATCATTCACCTAATTATACAAGTGATAAAGCTTAGCAACCGCTGGGCACCGTATTTTTTGAGATGAAAAAGACGAATTTCAGAAGAATTCGGAATTTATTCACACTCAATAAGAACGAGTTCTGTGCCGGTGACATTGCATGAATCATGGCTAGAACATAATATAAATAAAATGAGGCTTGCAACCAAAGGTCTAATGTGCCTTACATTTTTCACACGAACTCGTAAGACCCAGCAATCTCTTAAATTCCTGGATACCAATGAAGGCTATTGAAGCGATGTGATATCTATATATATAGCCAAAAGCCTTAAACCAGCGTTTACAGTTTATCATTAGTCTTGAGTCCAAAGGGAAGTCGCCCAATTTCAGTAATTTTCGAGAACATGGTTAAACAATCAATAAACAATATTGTAAGTTATCACAAATTGCATCGATTGGACGTCTAGTTCAAAATGAGGCCATAAACTTATCAACCCATGTAGTTTTCAACTGAACTATTGTATAGGTTAAGGGATATGATAAAAGTTAAGAAATATTTACAATCATAAAGGATTAAAATTATTGCATAAGCGGATTTTATTCATAAGTCCAGCAAGCTCATTATCGTATTTCAATGAGTTTATGACAACTAAGAAAATCATTCATTTTGTCGTAAAGTCGCCAAATTTATACACAAAATTATGCAAATTTACCTTCTCTGTCGGGATATTGTAGCATATATGTTTATACGTTAGCCTGGGTCAAAAATCCTAATATCTTTTTCACTTAGTATTATCGAAAACAGGTCCTTAGGCACCTCTAAAAATTCTCTCCAAGTGTGAACTAGTTAACAGTAACGAGAAGATCTTCCGCCACCTTGTTATTAAATAGAAAATGTTAAATCCTGCTTTCAACATCTGGAAAAATTATACGCACATGGCCAGTGTTTCTGTGACGCTCAAGCCGAGCAGTGATGTGAATTGAAAGTCACAGGTTGACTTCAACRGTAGCCAGCAGCCAGCTGGCTCTTTAAAAGAAAAGCAGACAAAGCGGCTTTCCAGTGCTTCTGTGACGCTCACGCACACCAGTGATGTGAATTGA